TCAGCTATGCAAGAGGCCATCATTTGCGGAGAATGTAAAAAACAAGTTTGTTTAGTGTACGCGAATCAGTGAAAGGTGCCGCTAAAATAAGCAGCATTGTTGAAATTGTTTTTATCTTCTGGGCGGAAGAGAAAGGTCGATATTTGACCCTCAGTTCTTAGGCCTCTCCAATCTGTGACACTCCACTTTAGAAATTTGCGCGGCGCATCATCGCTCCGTTACAAAATCGCTCGGAAATCACGGTGACCGTTCTTATGTATGAACAGAAATCCTATCCAGTATAGCTAGTGTAAATATAGCCTTAGATTCATTGTGGTTACTGAGTGGGAGAAATAGCCGCTTTTCGTATTTGAATCCCGGAAGGTTTTCTCAGTTACATGCCTTGTTGGGGAAGAGCCAGAATGGAGGATGCGAGGGATACTCGCTAAAAAGAAATATATGTTTTTCACTTTTGAGATGTTATGCCTTTATGTTACAGTAAGTCAAAAATCAGTTTATTAACCAACCCATCGACTGTTTTCTGTAAAATATCTGTTCGGAGAAACAAATATCGCATAGAATTTTCTATTACTTGAAGACGGCTAAAAATTTCTAGATAACCGTTCCATTCTTATACAACTTTCGAAGGTTATCCAATGAATTCCCCGCGACTTTCTGAAGTTTGATTATTCACACTTCACTTCCCAGGTTAGGCTATTTTTCGTAGAAAAAAGGAAACCTAAAATTTTCGGATTTAAAAATGTGGTGGAAAGAGCTAGGAATCAGAAAAAATTCTCACTTTCGTAATACCGGCGTTAATTGCACCTACAATTTTCCGGAAAATAATACTGAAGCCTTTGTAACTTCGAATTAAGTCTCAAGTTCCGACAGGATGACCGAACAGATGGAAATGTTCTAGCGCCTCCAAGAATGCATTTCTAAAGATTTAAAAGGTCTCTGGATAGCCTAAGAAGAGTTTTCAATGTATTTAGGAGGAAACCGTCTCTGGGTGCCCCTGATTAACCGTGACACTTAGACAAGCTAGTAAGAGTTAATCTCGAAATTGCCATTGTCTTCACTTTAACAATTCGGGCAAAAATTCGTTGATGTATCTCTCGCTTAGCAAATGCTAATAACGGTATATTTTTATCCTTTTTATTTATTCATTTATACACTCAGGAAAATCTGGTGTAGCATTGGAGAGCTAACAATTTAAAACAGAACCCTGTAAATACAATAAAAAAAAGAAAAACAGACACAAATAAAGAAAGAAAGTAGCAGACTGAGATAACGCATAGAGACACGCGGCAATTAAAGAGATTTGACTGACTGGCTTCTGAAGTGCATTTTCACCAAGGACTTTTCACTGAACAAATTAGTCCGTTGCAGATCTTGTGACATTAAAATCCCGCTTGTAAGAAGTCTAAGAGCCTGCATTTTTTGAAGTCTGGCAAAAAAGGTTCTTGTATTTTGTGGTAGTTGTTGACAATCTTTTGTTGATTGAATG